TTGGATTGATAATTTGACCTTGTCAGTCTAAAATGAACAAGGAAATTAAAAATCTGTTCTCATCCTAAATTTTGGTATCAGACTGAAAGAGACAGTAGCAGTGCATTTAATGAGTGATCAGTGTTCAGATTTATTTGGACAAAGTTCAACTGTCCAAAAAAAGCCTGACCTTTCCAGCAGCTGCAGAACAATCAGCTCCAGAAGGAGAGATCTAAATAACTTTGTGATGTTTCAAGTGTATAAGGTTCATCCAGCTTCCTCTCAGTAAATACTGAGAATCAAATTAATTAGTAATTTTTGTATTTTGAGTATGCGATGATGCACACAATAGAAAATAAAGGTTATTACATTCACACATTTTTAAAGAATACATCCAGAAATTAATCTCACACTGGGATAAATGATCACTGAACACTCACCTTTAACGCAGTCGTCTCTGATCTCTGTCAGAGTCCTCTCTGCACTGAAGTCTCTCTTTCTTCTCTCAGCATTTATATCGTTGTCAATCTTTGAGCGAACAAAGTAGAACTTTTTCTTCATCCTCTGAATCTCCTGAGCGAGTTTCACATCATTCTCTTTGAACCGAGCAGCCGCAATGATGATGAAGAAGTCATACTTCTCAAATCCAACATACCTCAGGTATGAGTCAGCTGGATACTTCAAGGTGCCAATTCCAGGAAGATCCCATAAGATAACATTGGGATAGTCTGGATGGAAGTGTGGTTTAGGATCCATTGAGGATTCTGTAACACCAGTAGGAGCAGCTCCCTCATCATCATCACATAGTCCTCTGAGGGCATTAACAAAGGTGGATTTACCAGCCCCAGATTCTCCTGTGATGGCAATATTTAATGTGATGTTTTTCTCCTTCACCATTAACTCATTGATCTTTGCAGCAGCTGCTGGTTGGTCATTCTTCAGCACAGCTTCATTAATTTCTTCTGTAACTGATGCAAATCCAAACTGGTCGTCTGTGCTTGTATGTAAAGTCTGAAACAGCAAAAGAGGACAAAATTTACTTTTGTGATTTGAGAGGCATGAAATGTAACTATCACAATCTAACATTATACACACAACTGGCCTAAAATGGCATAATTAAATAATTACACAAACAAAAATAAAATATCTTCAATACAAGCTGGAGCCAAATTATGGAGAGTCATAATTAATTTCTTAATATTTCGTTTTTTTCTGTCTCAGAGGACTGAAATATTTTCATTGGATTGAAATGGGCTTAAAATAAATCTGTGGTTGACATTTTTAACTCTGAATTGAAAAGTTAAAAAACAAAATGTTTGTTAGGCTGGAAAGAAAATGATCCGAGCTCACACCAGCACACAGTGTGTAAAAACAGTCTGAGTTGAGATGCTGTGTGAAGTTACAGGAAATGTTGGAAACCTAAAACTATGATGCCTGTCACAGTTTGGATTTAAAGCAGCAGCCAATGATCTGATCGGTGTGTTTTCACACAGGCCACAGTTACAGTCATGAGAAAAACATTTTCTCAGTTCTCCTTCCTCAGGATTTACTAAGGTAAGCAGCAGCAAGGTACTGCTAACTGATCAACAGGACAATGATCCTAAACACAGCAGCAATACAATC